AGAAATCTATCTCCTGATATTTATCCAAGAGAAACGAAAATATATACTTAAATATGAATATTTATACAGGCTTTTTTCATAATTGCCAAAATCTAGTAACAACCCAAATGTTCTTCAATTGGCAAACAAGTAAAGAAACTGTGATCTATCTATATGATGGAACATAAACTACTGATACATGCAACATGGATGAATCTCAAACCTCAGATGCTTTATGTGAAATAAAAGAAGCCAGACTTAAAATGCTACATATTATATGATTCCATTTATATGATACTCTGGAAAAGATATAACTATAGGGATAGAAAACAGACCAGTGGTTGCCAGGGGATGGGGACAAAGGAAGGGGTTGAGTATGAAAAGGCACAAGGGAACTTTCTGGGGTGATAAAAATGTTGTATTTTGATTGTGGTGGTGGTTACATGCTTGTGTTCATCAAAGCTCATAGAGTGGTACACTAAAAAAAAGGGTGAATTTCACTCTGTAAATTATAACAACAAGCATTACTTTAAGAAAACATAGCTTTATAATGAAAACACATGTAAAAAATATCAAGTTGGACAAAAATGTACTCTGTATAAGCATTATCATTTGGCCTAATACAACCTCTCTAACGAACAAGTATCTTCCAGCCCCATGAACATACCCTTAGTCTACATTAAGATAAATGAAATCAGATAAGCAAAATAATAATGCCATGTTTTAATCACAAATGGCATTTGCCTTAGCCATGAAATATTTTCAAGCAAAAAGTATTAATGAATTTAATATTATCCATCAATTTTCTAAATTTTAAAAAGCATATATGAAGCATATATCAATCCATGGGAATTCAGCTTTGAAGATTTTTAGGGTGGACTGTTTTCAAATCACTAGATATGAGTGGACTGAATCACAGAAGGTGCCTGCTGGCTTGGTGAACTGTCTTTGAGCTTGGGCTCAGAATTTAGCTTTGCTTCTCTCTGCTTTTCTTAAGTTAAAAGTCCCCATATGTGGTAATACATATGCTATTTTAGTTGAGCCAGAAGCCAAGAAACAGTCAAGGCTTGACAATTTCATGCGACAACTGTTGCTGGGTTTGTTGCATGGGGCGGGTTAGTAGTCCTTGATGCTCCACATACATTCTGTACATGACAGTGATACATCATATTTACTCTCTTCAAATTTTGAAACGCAAACAATAATGTTTTAAAAAATTTTGTTTCATTTTTAAAGGATTGTATTTGTTTCTCTAGCTATTCTACCTTCATAGAACCCAGAAAAGGGACCTTGCAAATAAAGTGGCAAGTGTTAACATGTTAGGAAGCCTAAATTATTTTTGTTTGTTTTTCTTTTTTAAACAGCATTGTCAGAAATCATCCCTTTGCCTCCCACAGGCCCATGAGCTCACACTCAGGGGACGTCCTGGCTAAACTACTTGGTGAACACGGGGGTCAGAGGCAGTGATGATTCACTGGCAAATACCAGATGCTCAACAAGCAAACATTCCCCAGAAGCAGCCTTATGCTGAAGTGACTGGAGTGCTCTGAGCTGTATCCAACTTTGTGGCTTCTCTTTTCTCCTGCATGTTGGTCTTCAAGCAAAATAACCTATCTCCTCAGTAAGATAAGCTGATACAGGAGGCAGCAAAACAGAAGGAAATAAGATACAATGACACAACAAAAAAGTAGAATACCTTGGTTTTAGCTAATTCCTTTTCCAAATTGCATTTTTCTTGTGCTATTTCTTTCTCTGTTTTAGTAACCTGCCCAAAAAGGAGTAAAAAGAAGAAATGGGTCAGTTTTAAAATAGCTTACAGACTCTATTATAGCAGACATACCCTGCATGTCAATTAATACCTACACTGCAGAGATAGCACATCCTCTCAGAAAAGGGGCCACTCGGGGAGTCTCTGAGGCAGAGCAGACTTCACAAATAGCCCTGAAATTAGAAAGACACGTCTGCATGTCAGACTCTACTGGTTCTTTCCTAACTAGGAAGACAGGGCTGTTTCCCCTTACATTGTTTCCCTTACACTGTCCCACTCCTACAGGGGAAATCGATTTTAAAAAATATGACCCCTTAACTAACATGAGGATGTGTGAACTGTTAACATTCACTAACGCTGTATAAGGGTCTATTTGGCACAGACTATGCATGTGCTAAAAGACACAGATTAGCCACCTAAAGATTTCTTTAATGGGTAACTCAGACAACTGCATCAGGGTTGTATTTCTTCTCTTTTGCACTTAAAATACAATTTTAAAACAAGGTCACAACCAAGAGGTAACATAAATCTGCCTCTACCTACCTCTCTCTGAAGTCTGTCTTTCTCATCTAGCAGAGACTTCTTCTCTTGCATTGATGCTTCCAGTTCACCTCGCAATCTTGTGATTGTTGATTCCAGCAGCTCTTTTTGCACAGCTGTCCTCTTCTCAATATCCTGTGCTTTCTGGATACACTGGTTATGCTCAAGGATTAAATGGTCTCTGCAGGAAGAGAACAAGGAGATACGAAAGCTAAGTGAGAGTTCTTCTTTAACAGAAAGGCTAAATGTCCTTATAAAACATACCTCTCGCCTAAGAGCAGTTACAAAAAAGTTCTAACAAAACTAGTTTCTTAAGGGCAGAGGCTTTATTTGATTTTTGTGGCTGGCCCAGCAAATCTAGTATTAAATGTTTTCATTGAAGATAAGGAAGACAAATGCAAAAACAAAAGATGCAGAAGTTGCCCACAATTTACTTACAGATGCACTTGGAGTTGTGTTTTCTCATTCTGAACAGTCTGTAGCTCACTTGTGATACTGGCATGGGCTGCATCTAGCAGTAAGTTTTGTTCTTGAAATGTCTGTGTCATCATTTTCTGTTCTTCCTGAGTGTTAGAAGTAATATTAAAAGTTGAGATGCCAGAAGTCTCTTGATAGGGTATTAATTCTAAATAACTGATCAAGGATACTGAATTAGCTTACAAAAGACAAATTTTATTTATGTAAGTAAAACTCTTTTAAAAAATTTAATGTCCAGCTCTCTCTTTGTCCCTACCCTGACTTGGCCACAATTCTATCATTTTATAGCTCTTCCAGTCAATAATCAAGATGCATTATTTACTTAGTTTGCTGCAAAATTTATTAAACTCCTAACATGAACAAATTTTTAAGATATAAAACTATATTAAGTATATTTTGGGTACTTTAAAATTTCAATATGATACTATATTTTAAAAAGTAAAATAATATCAATGTATATAAAGTGAAAAATCACTCCACTTCTATCTTCCCCCACCTCTTCCAAATAATTCCACTCTCCAGGGGCAATCACAGTTTAAATTCTTTCGACAGCATCTGAAATTGCACTCAGATACTGTTACAGCATAAGTGCTATAACTGTTTTGCACAATTAATTTTCTCTGGCTCACCATTTTGAAATTATCAAAACATAGCATTTTTATACACACCTTCCCTACCTACAGTTTATAAAGCTTTTGTAAATATAGTACATATCAACAGTTACTTTAGCCAACATATTTTAAAGCACTTTCATTTGAACAATATTTGATTTAAAGCAAACCTTCACACCTTCACACTTAGTAAAATGAGATCTCATTTGTGTCTTATTCCAAAGTTTTAAAATGTTTGTGAAAGTGTTATATACATAAGACACATTATTCAGTCTACTAAATTGTAAGTTCCATGAAAGTAGAGATTTTGTCTTGTTCACTGCCATAATTCTATCTAGATCTAGCATCATACTTCCAACGGAGTAAACACTAAATATTTGTTGAATTAATGAAAATACTTATTGAGTACCTGTTATGTGCAAAATATGCTTAGCAATATGGGTAACAACCAAGATATATAAGACAACGTCTCAGGAAGTTCACAATGTAATACAGGAAATGAGCCATGTACATAAATTACTACCACAGAACGCAGAATAGAGAGGCAGCATAACATGATTAAAACCACTGACTCTAGCTCCACTCCTTACTAGCTAGGTGATTTTGGGTAAGCTGATTAACTTCTCTAAACCTTATTTTTCTTATCTGTAAAATGAGGATAACAAACATCCCTTTATATAACAGATGCTAGGATTACAGGTGGTAATGTATGTAAAATCCTTAGCACCTCGCTTGGTATATAATAAGTATGCTGAAAAAAAAAATGAGAGCTTCATTATTACAGTCTGTTTGTTTAGTGTCTAGAGTAGAAATTGAAAGACAAAATTTATCCTTTCTGGTTGGAGTGATCAAACTTCTTGATGAGTGTAACTTTTAAAGAATGACTAGAATTTCAAATAGTTGAAAATGAAGTAACGACCATTCTCATCAGAGGGAATGGCACAAGCAAAATAGAACAGCACAGGTGTCTGGGGAAAAGTAAATACCTAGGATCAGTCATAAGTATTCTCCATAATTCTGTCAATACTGGGACAGGTAATTTCTTTTCCTAAAGTAATGTTATCTGAGAAGAAACCATCAAGAAAGCACTGAGCGTAAGGCCAAATGACTCCTCTGATGAAATCTGAAAACAACTAATCAAAAAATAAAATAATTCAGAAAAATCACGGAAATTAATTGCTAGAATATTTTATTTACCCAGTTTGTTATTTATGTTTCCTGACCTCTTAGCTAAGGAGGCTTCCTGCTGACTCTCCCAGAAATTAACTAGTGTTAAATATGAATACCTGAAGAATGGCTTGATGGTCAGCAATGATTCTGGTATTTTCCATTCTAACAGTCTGAAGCATGCTGTTCAGCTCTGAACATTTTCTAGTTAGCTGGTCATTCACAACCTAAGACAATATATATAGCAAATCATAGATCTCTCCAATAAATAATTTTTACTTATGTATCATTATTTTTAATGATCTCATAGTATTTCACTATATATGTGAACTTAGTTGATTTAACCTAATCTCAATTGATATTTCACTAATTATAAAATACTTTCAAATGTCTGGAGCCACCACCCTAAATAATTCTAAATTAAAAGGGAAATTTGTTGATTTGGTGGAGCAACTGAAGAATTTGGCAGTTTGCCAGTCTTCTACTCCTCACAATTTTGAATGCTGGTCAATTAGAGCAAGACATCTACAGAATGAAACTTACACAGTAGATTCATGGTCAATATTATAGAAATCCATTCCCAAAATTAGATGATGAGCTTTCAGAATTGTTTAGCTGATAACACAAAATATCTAAGCTCCTTCATCACCAATTATAATATTCATAAAAGCAAAATAAAGATGACTGCCATTTTAAGGATGGGGCAAACAACTCTGGAGGATTAATAGAAAAAACACTCAAAAAATAGTAACAAGAAAGAAATGTATAAGATTATCTGGTCAGTACCATAAGTGGTATGTACAGCACAGTAGTTAGGAACACATTCTGGGGCACTTTAATACTTGGGGGTAAAACAGAGAACCCTTGCTCCTTGAAAAGAAATAGCTAATTTTCTTTGGAGTGAAATTGCCTGGGCTAAAACTGCAACCCTGTAACTTACTAGCTATGTTATTAAACCTCTCTGTGTATCAACTGTCTTATGTTTAAAATGGCAATAATAAGAGTTTCTATAGCAGTGTTATTGAGAGAATTACAATTCGTTAGTAACACAAGGTGCTTAGAATTGTGCCTAGAATGTAGAATGGGTTCAGTAAATGCCAACTATTACGTATAGTAAGAGTAGAAGTAGTTACTGTTATTACTTTATGAAAGGACACATTTTGTATTTTTTTAATCATAAAGAGAGCATAGCAACACTATGATCCTAACACTGAAGTAATCAAATTGTACTAACAAAACATTTTTTTAAGTGATCAATAGTATTTCATTGAATTATTATGAGAAATAACACAGCTGCCTGCATATTTGGTGACTCTTATCCATATACATGCATATACATTAAACATCAGCTGAATTTGGGAATCACTATATCACAGAAAATGATTACATTTAACTTCAAAATCCAGCAAGTGTTTATTAGGTTCCTACTGTGCTTTGCTATAGAAGATACAAAGAAAGTGTAAGACATAGCCCTCGAAATAGAAGTTCTTAGGGAAGCATATATAAAGATATATATTTAATGAGTAAATTGGAAAGCAAACAAAGGCAGAGTGCGAACTAGCACATGACTTAGCAGTATATCCCATATACCTATGTGTCACGGGAACTTAAGAGAGTGAAACGGGAAATGTGATTAATTTGATGATGTTTTATAAGTGAAATAAATCTTATGGAAATAAAAATTTTGGATGATGGCAATGGTATGAATTTATGTAACTAGGATTAATCTTGGTTCTTTAATTGAACAAAATTAACATCTAAACACTAGATGAACGAGAAGATTTACTTGTGCTTTTTCTGATGCTTCATGAAGGGATATTATTTCAGATCTCAAATATGCATTTTCTTCATGTTCTTTGTTGAAAGACACCTGCAAATTCTATAGGAGAAAAAAAAAAGAATCTCTCTTTTTCTACACATAAGAGCTATTACATGTGTCTCTATCAAAATACTTAATTCTATTGTGGCCAGTACCAGTTCAGGTTCTAATGATATACATAGGTAAGTGTCTTACAAAGAATTAAAAAAAATTTTTTGATATCTTCAACTCCCAAAATTCTCTTTATTTAAAAATTATTTATCAAAACTATTAAAAATAGTCTTATATTGGGGTTCCAGAATTTGCCTAAAACCATAACCTAGATATTTACCTCACATCCTTATTTCAAAAAGGTTCTACTAAGATGAAATATTTGTTAGCTTATTTTATATACACATTTCTTCCAATGAGCAAGATCTTGTGATTTCAAAGAAACACATTCAAGGATCTTTTAAAATTAAAACAGGTGAAGATATTATCATCAAGGAATACCCGGGGGGTAGAACAGAAGAAAGTACCTTTGGTCTGTGAAAACAAATGTTCTCTGAGATGAGAGAAAGATGATAAGGATGTGAGCTGTGTGCTGGGTTGTACCTGACAGGTACAAATAGGGAAGGAACCAGTCTTCTATTTTTCCAGAAGAAGTATCTCAGGAAAAGTAAACATCACATAACATCTACACCATGAGACTGATTTAGAAATGTATTAAGATATAAAAGTAGTAATATTTATTTTTATTTTAAGTGTGGTAAAATACACAACAAAATTTATCATTTTAACTATCCTTAAGCATACAGTTCACTTAAAAATATTTAAGGGTTAAGTTTAAGTTCAGTGGTATTAAGCACATACATTCAACTTGTTGTGCAACCATCACCAAAAATAGTTAAATTTCTTACATTTCATAAAAAAGTTACTTTAACATTTCATTTGCAATAGGTATAAAATACAAATAAGTCTCATTTTTGCCAATTCATCTTTTTCAAACTATAATAATCTGTATGAAGTGATTTATTTCCTAATATCCAGTTGACAACAGTTCTGAATATACAACTCATTTACACTGAAACTTTTTTTAATAAAGATTTTAGGAGACTAAGAAGGACTGTAAATCAACATGAGTGAGGGAATATAGAAGAGAAGAAAGAACACCTCAGTAAACTAAACCTCAAAACTTACCTTATTTTCTTCAACCAACTTGGAAATGAGGTCATCTCTAGAAACTAAAAACAAAAAAGTCCACGTAACTATGATAATAACTTACTCCAACTACATTGAAATTACACGGAATTTTTTTTCCCTGAGATTTGATTTAAAAAAATTTTTTTTCTAGCCTCTATTTTTCAAAAATAAGGGGAACACAAGTATTCCTATTATATTTTCATAGACCGTAAACTAAATCACTGAATTATCAAGAAACTAGTCCACGGTCACATGCAATGGTAAACGAGGTCACATCTTACTCCACGCACAGATGATGATGGGTTTCTAAGGGATTTCAAGCTGGGGAGGCACACAATCAAAAGCCTTTTGCTAGAGAGATTACTCTAACAGAGGCTCGATAAAGACAGGGAGACCAGTTTAGTAGCTGTTGCAGTAACCAAAGTGTAAAACGATGAGAACAGGCTCCAAGGTAATGACCATAGGGATGCAGAAGAAAAAGACTTGTGAAAAGCAAGCTGGGAGAACTGTCAGGACTTGGTGGCTGACTGGTGGGTAAAGGCAACGGATGAGCCAAGGGAAATACCTAGTGTGCAGACCTGGACAGTGGGGTGGATGGCGGACTTTGACTCAGCAGGGAACTGGGGGCGAGGAGCAGGTCTGGGGGCAGATGAGTGAGAGTGACTGTGGCACTCAGGCTTTCATCGTGTGTTTTGAGGTTCCTGCAAGGCATCCAAAGGCAGATGTTTAGTTGGCAGTAAGACACCGTCTGGAGCTCAAGAGGATGACATGGCAGGAAAAAAAGATTTAAAACCGCTCAGAGAGTATGTGTACACAGGGAAATTAAACCAAAGACAGAAATAGGGGAACAGTTTGTCACTGTATACTAGTAGCCAAAAGATACAAACTTTTCTGAGACTAATGTTTTTGGCTTCCTAGGAAATTCATAAAGATCTATCAGTTTTGTTTCACTAAATATTCTAAAGCCAGAAAATTATAAGACACACAAAAACCTCACATTTTATGTTATGATATACTCAGAAAAACTGTACTTCTTGAACATGAGTTCAAGACTCATTTTAAATAAATTCTAATTTAAAACATGTGAAGGATCAAAAAGATAAATTATATGATCTATTTGAAAATTCCACTAATCAAAGAAAGAATGAAAGGGGAGTGTTTATCTTATTTAGAACAGTTTAATCGCTTTAGTGTGTGTGTGTATATATATATATATATATATATATATATGCATATATGCATATGCTTATTGCTAATAAATACAATAAACAATTGTTAATAAACAATTGCATTTTAAAATTCATTGAAGCAAATATCTAAAGGCATTCCTTTTATTAATCTACTTAGAATAACTATTTGTACTTTAATAAAATTGCATGCATGTAAAGAATCTCTTATTCAATATGAAGCATACAGTTGGTATTTAGACAGGCTTCTTTTTCCTCATGTTAGTCTGAATTACTGCTGTTCTAACCTTAATTTTGTAATAGTCTTCCATATGTTATTATAAATTAAAAAATACAGCATTAATCCTTTAAGAAAGTAACATTTCAAAAAACCACTTAGTCAGAAGGACAATTAATTATCACAGAAAGATCTGTGTTTTAGTCCCAGCTATCCTATTTACTGTGGGTCCTTTGATACAGATCTTTTTATTCTTCGGTAGAATGGGGTATATTTTCTTATCTTTCTCCCAAGTTTGTTTTAAGGCTCAAATGGGATAATGTGTCAGTACCATAAAACATAATGTGTATTTTTGGAGGCATGCAATCACAGGAAGACAGAGAATTATCTTGGGGCATTATCAGTGAGAACTTCACAGACTAATTCACTACTCAACAACTATAAGGAAAATAAGTACTTTCTGATAAAAGCAGTAAGTCAAAACATTGAACGAATTACTCTTTGCTCCATGCTTTTTTTTTTCCTTCATAATTTTCATTTCCCTTTTGGTATCCCCTTGCCCCCATTACAGTCACAGAGCAGAGAAGCCATACTGGCAAGAACACTGGGTCCAAGTTAGAAGATCCAGGTTCAGGCCTCACTTCGCCATTTATTCATTTTGTAACTTTGGGAAGTGCAGATAGTTTTGTTTTTTACAGGAGATAATTTATGTGAAAGTTCTATGTAAACCCTGAAGTGTTATTCACGTGTGAGGTACTGCACTGTAACTCTGTGTGATCTCTATGATGAGATCCAACTGAAAACTGCTTTACAAGTATGCATTAACAAATAGTAGTCTGATAAGGACTGTTGGATTGGAAGAAGCACAACTCTGAACAGCCTGGGATCAAGTCTAGACTCTTCCATTTCCTACTCAATCACCTTTAAGGACTTTTTTTTTTTTTAAACAGACATTTACTTATCTGTAAAATGACGAGTTAATCTAAACTCTCTCTAATGGTACCCTACAACCATCGGTTTCTACAAATACAAGTTAACCAAAATAGATTGATAACCTGACGAATGGAGAGATAGTTTGACATGACAAATGGTTAGAATCAGTAGGTGAGCAAGGACCCATGGTCTCAATTCCTTATTAGCATTCTATTACCAATATTCAGTCTAGAGTTCTAGAATCCAAATGTTCCAAAGTCTACAAACATTTAAATAAACCTGAAAAAAATCTAAATAATTAGTTTATAATTAAGAGGGTAAAATCCTATTTTATTACCAACATTCTCTTTTTTGTCTCAGTGCCAGATAGAAGGGAAGTCAGCAATTTTTTATATTCAGGTCTGTAGGAAGTATCAGTTAACACTGGCCACTTCGAGCATTTGGCATCTTCAGAGCTTTTGCATGAAATCTCAAAAGACTAACAAAGTGTAATTTCTAGCATCTATTTTCATACCTAGATCAGACTTGAGCTGTGAGGTAGCAGTCTCCAACTCCCCTTTTTGTTGTTGTTCCTGGGCCAGGACTTCTTGGGTGGTCTGAATAGAACTGCGTAGGGCAATGCAGTTTTGCTGCAAAATTTGCACCTGAAATTGTGTAAGAAAAACTCCTTTTCTGTAAGGTAAAGATTTCTAATAGATTACCTTACAGCACATGTGTAAGGCAGATTTTTCCAATATTAATGTTACTGGAGGAAGAAGGGGAGTTTATATGTTCCAGTTAAAGATCTCAACAGAGATCCAGAGGAACTTTCTGTGCACTCTTCAACACAGCAGTCACCAGCCACAGGTGACTGCTGAGCACTCGAAATGTGGTCAGAGTGAGTTAGGAACTGAATCTTTAGTTTTATTTAATTTTAACTAATTTAAACTTAAATAGTCACATGTGACTAGTGGCTACTACACTGGAAGTATAAGCTATAGAAATAAAGGATCATCTGCAAATTCCTTAAGTAGAATCCTTTTAATAATTCCACTGTAAAGGACAGCATTGGTTAAAATAATAAAGATTATGTGATCTAATTACAGATATTAGGATTTGAAACTACTAATTGCCTTAGATACTTAGAATTTAAATATTCTAAATTACATGTAGGTACTTCAAATAACAACTTTGATGAAGACAAAAATATTAAGCTAAAATAAATAAGGAGAATTGAAAACAGTAGTAAAAATGCATTCCTGATTATTTTACTTATTGGTGTTCTTTGCTGCAAATGTTACCTCAGCTTAATCTTTCTTTTCTACCCATGTCACATACCTATAACATGAGATTAGGGCAATGCCCTCCAAAATCAATTCTTGAAACAGAGATTGTATGGTGCAGGGGGAAGGATTCCTTCCCAGGAGCGAAGAGTTCACCTCTCTAAAGCCTGAGGCAAAATAACCTCTCTGTCCTTAGCTCCCTTATTCATAAATTCAGACTGTTGGACTGAATGGCATTAGAGTCCTTTCTTATTCTGCACTAAAATTTTAAAAATTGTAGTAAGAATATTAACAGAAGATTAATAAAGAAAAGCAAAGAATTTTATAAATCTGGAGGAACTCAGTGAAACTATAGGTTTATAGGTAAAACATCAGCTTTTCTCTTTTGGCTTCACTTTCTCAACATAAACAAGGAGAGACAATCTCTCTACCTGCTTCCGTTCCACCTCCACTGTTGATCCCATTTCTTGTATTTTGAGTAGCATGGCTGATCCGGATTTCTCAAGAGATTCCCTTAGGTGCTTCTCCTGAGACAGCTGTCTCCTTAGCTACAGAGCAACACTGCAGTTAGATGAGACCAAGGGAACTTCACAGCAGTTTAATAAAGATCAAAGTCACCATGAAAAGTTTACCAGACATGCCCTCTCACCCCCATTCTTCATTCATTTATGACTACTCAGAAACATGCCTTTGTTTCTCCCTAATGGGTAACATTGTAAGAAATGCAGAGTCAAATTTGTTACCCTCACTTCCTTAAGTATAAGTCTGTTTTCCAAATTGTGGGTCAAGACTCATTAGTAAATTGCAAGCAGCACTTGAAAAAGGAAAAAAAAAAGAATAGAAAATATCAGTGCATATAGCAAATAGTAAGGAAGGAAGGGTAAGTACTGCTTGACGAAATGTTTGTGCATATGTATGTGTGTATAATGTTGCAGTGTAAAATATGTCATACAATGGATTGCTGCCAAAAAAAAAGTCTGAAAAATGCTAATACATCTTAGTATATGTATTTTCTGACTTTATTTTTTAATTCTTATTTTTCTATATTTTGATTTCTTTATCTATCTATCTCTATTTTTTATCCCTCAGTATTATAAACTTTCCTCTGAAAGCTGTTTCAATTTTGTATCAGAATTTAAAGGTCAAAACAAATAATGAAGTAATTGTTAAGTAGCAGACAAAACTGATACTCAGGAATTTGGGTACACTGTCCTTATTTCTACCAATAAATGACTATAAAATGAGTCAGATAAAAATATAAAGAAGGTTAAGAGTTTCTTTTATCATGAGGTAAAGAAATCCTTTTCAACTTAAATGGGTATTAAAATATGCTATTCCTTTTATAAAGTGATGTTAAATTGAAAGAAATTCTATGTTTAAACCTCATTAAAGATGACATAAGGCACACTTTATAACACTTCTCTACATTGTACATACATATTTTATGTTTTCTCAAAGGATGACATTTAAAGATTTTTAAACTTTTTAAAAATTGAAAAAAGATGAAGAATGTGCTGGCATGAAACTGTTAAAAGATACCTCATTTTAGAAATGTTCTATGATTTTCTTAATCATACCCCTAATGCTGAACGTTTGGGTATTTCCAGTTTTTCACTATTCTAAATAATGTTCTGCTGAAAGTGCTTGTGAATAAATTTTTCATTGAATTCCTGATTATTTCCTTGGGATAAATTCCTACAAAAGGAATCACTAGGTTAAAGGTATAAACATGTTTTAGACTTTTGATACATGTGTAATTTTCCTTCCAATTTTACTTTCTTACCAGTAGTATTTGACTAAATCTCATCAGCCCTATGGATCAACACTTTTAAGTCTTTGCTAATTTAATAAATGAAAAAGAACATCTTAATATTTTTTCATTTATTTAGTTCTCAGATTAAACAGTGTCTCATATGTTATTAGTTCTTTATATATTTTCTGAATTATTAGTTCTTATCCTTTGCCCTCTGTTTTGGGTTTTCCTTTTAAGTCAATTTAAGATCTTTAAAAGGGAAGATTATTAATTCTAATTTTGTTATATTAGTTTTGCTTTTTGGGTTTTTTAACATGTATAAGATTTTAATTTTTGTATGGTCAAGCCTACTGAGCTTTTTATAATCCTATTCCTTCTTTTCAAGCTTAGAAATTCCTTCCTTATCCAATGATCAGTCAAATAATCTTTTTTAAGAATGAGCCATAGTTTTTGGTTTTGGCTGTATTTCTCAGGTTTTATTTTAATATCAGATTACAATCATTTTAAATTTAAAGTAATATCATACACTTTTCTAAGCTCTGGATCAAACTATATAGTATAATTTGCTCAATATATAATTTAAGTGCTTTATAAAGGGAATCTTTATTTGATAATTATACTGCTGAGATATTCATTCTTAAGGCATTATTAAGGGCAATCAATCTATTTCATGTTCATCAGAATCATACTTTTTAATATTATATATACATACACATGATGTGTACATATATACATACATATTCTTCATCTCTTAGAAAGCTAAATACTGCATTTACTCTACTTTTGCATAGCCTTCTGTTTTGGGTTGAATTGTATCCCCCCAAAATTCATACACTGAAGCCCCAACTCCCAGTATCTCAAAATGTGACTGTATTTGGAGATAGGGCTTTTAAAGAGCTATTTAAGTTATGAGGCCACTGGGGTGGGCTCTAACCCAATGTGACTGGAGTCCTTAAAAGAAGAGGAGATTTGTACACAAAGAGACACCAGAGATGTGTGCAGAGAAAAGACCATGTGAGGACACAACAAAAAGGCAGCTACCCTCAAACCAAGGAGAAAAGACTCAGGAAGAAAACAAACCTGCCAATACCTTGATCTTGGACTTTTTACCTCCTAATGGTGAGACATAAATTTCCTTTGTTTAAGCTACCAAGTCTGTGGTACTTTGTATGGCAGCCCCAGCTGACTAATATGCCATCCCTGCTCCACATACTCTCAAAACGTCCCTGTTTGACAATGACAGGTCCTTCTGCAGGTCCTTGCTGAGTTCAACAAAAATTCAAGATTTCACCACAGCACCAAGAAACGAGGCTTTCCCAATAAAAGAAATAATGACAAGTGGCAATCCATTGGAGAGAGGACAGTCTTTTCAACAAATGGTGCTGGAACAAATGGACATACATATACACACACTCACATGAAAAATCTAGATACAAACCTCACACCTTTCACACAAACAAAAAACGCAAAACCTAAATGTAAAATGCTAAAGTATAAAACTTCTAAAAGATAACACAGCAGAAAAATCTAGGTGACCTAGGGTTTGGCAATGACATTTTAGATATAACACCAAAAGTACAATCCATGCAAAAAACAAATAAGTTGAATTTCATTAAAATTAAAAGCTTTTGCTCTGCAAAAGACAATGTTAAGAGAATGAAAAGAAAATCTACATATTGGGAGAAAACATTTGTAAAACACATATCGGATAAAGGACTGGTATTCAAAGTATAATAAAAAGAAACTCCTAAAACTCATCAATAAGAAAAAAATCCAGTTACAAAACGGGCAAATGATCTAAGATACCTCATCAAATAAGATATACAGATGGCAAATAAGCATATGAAAAGATGCTCAATATTACATGTCATTACAGAACTGCAAATTAAAACAAAATGCCACTATACATACACCTATTAGAATGGCAAAGATTCAATACACTGCCAACACCGAATGCTGGTGAGGGTGTGGAACAACAGGAACTCTCATTCATTCATTGCTGGTGGGAATGCAACGTGGTACAGCCACTGTAAGACAGGTTAGCAGTTTCTTAGAAAGCTAAACATAAGCTTACCATATGATCCATTAATCATGCTCCTAGGTATTTATCCAAATGAGTTGAAAATTTACGTCCATACAAAACTCTGCATATAAATGTTTATGGCAGCTTTATTCATAATTGCCAAAACTTGGAAGCAAACAAGATGACCTATGGTAGGTACATGGATAAACCATGGTATAGTTTATCAATACATATAACGGACTATTATTCAGTGATAAAAAGAAATGAGCTCTCAAATCATGAAAAGATGTGGAGGATTTAAATGCATATTCTAAGTGAAAGAAGGCAGTCCAAAAAGGCTACATACTGTGTGTTTCCAACTATAACAGAACTATAGATACAGTGAAAAGACCAGGGTTGTCAGGGGGTCAGGGGAAGGGAGGGTATGAGTATACAGAATACAGGGCATTTTTAGGGCAGTGGAACCATTCTGTACAATATTGTAATGATCAAAAAGTGAAACTTAATGTAAACTGTGGATTTAGTGAGAATATATCAATACTGGCTCATCAAATGTAACAAATGTACCAGAATAATACAAGATTTTACTAACAGAGGGAACTCTAGCAGTGGAAAGAAGGAATATGCACTCTGCTTCGGTGCAATTTTTCTAAAAACTTAAAATAGCTCTAAAAAGAGTCTATTAAAACATCCCAAATACTTTTTAAAAAGTGCTAAACTTAATATATTCCAACCGACAA